AAAGCCAAAAAGCTGTATTTAAACTAAAATTAAGTGGGCATAAGCTAGTACCATGACCAAAGGAGCATTCCCATCCTCCTGGGCCCAGATACTTATTTCTGCCCCTCTCTTTTGCTGCCATAGCTACTTATGAAGTGATACAAACAGCCATGCTGGGGAATGAATCTGGATGAAAACTAACTCATTCTTGAGGTCAACTTTTACAGTATGGGTTACCCAATCAAGTTTACCATGAAGCTGACACAGTCACAAATTGGGAAAAGGGACATGAACTCAATGTGCGTTCAGAGACTGCTTCATCTTGTGGTGAAATCACTACAGTCTTCAAACTACAGTTTACAGTAAGAATTGCAAACACTACAGAAACACTGCCCTGACTGGAAATTAAGATGTTAATTACAAAACCAACAAGCCTAAGACATGAATTTCTACAATCCATGTAGAAATGGATGATCGCTCAGTAAGTCATACACACATAAGCTGTTTATAACATAAAATAATGAAAGGTAGTTTGCTTCTGAAAGCCAGGTAGGCCAGTGGATACCCTTGAGACTGCCCCTTGGAAAGCAGAACCAGAGTATGCTCGTGGCCAGTATGAAATGCCAAACACTGCGACCTAAGCTTACAACAAAGCTCACAGATTCTCAACTGAGAGAGATTATAGATGAGACTCCACCATTAAAGAAGGACACCAGCAGCAACAGCAGAAAGTTTCTGGACTTCTGTTTACATGAACTATGATGGAATCACACAAGTATCTTTAGTTGTGTAAAAGAGGGAAACACTAACTGGTAGCTAAAATAAAATATTAATTGAGAGTCTGTAAGGCAGATGCATTACTGCTTTACATAAGACAGATGACCAAAATACGTAAAAGACTAGTACAAGTGAACTCAGTAAAAAGCAGCATGAGAAAACAAACCAAGATCTGAGAGAAAGACTGGAAAAAGTCTCATTTGGATATACTTACCTAGCTAAGAAAATGGCTATTCAATTTTTTTGGAAAGTGAGGGAACAGTACAGTGTTATACAGACTAAGGCTTACATCTCCAGATCACAAGAATAGGTCCACAGGACTTAGCACACCCTTGTTCAGTCCCATTCCTAGACTGCCAGTGCAGATTGCTTTAACTAAGATCCTATTCTAGAAATTTAGATGAAACTAGAGTTCTATGCAAAAGGCAACAATGTGCATACCTCACTCCCTTGAGTATTGTATTAAGAAATTACAGAATAAAAACTACACGTTACTTCTGGTTCTATGATTGATCAATTACAAACGAGGGCTGCAGTAAGGGGTTAAAATGGTTTAATTTAAAACTAAATCTCTTAGGTGCCTCATCTATGCCAGAATTTTTGACACATATATGTGTTTATTTATTTTTAAATTAACTGGACATTTCAATAGAGATGCAGATATAATCTACTGCAGTTAATAGTCTCCTTCCTACCATACTTTCTAATCAACACCTTGGTACTGTTCCCCATACTTACACCCATTACTCATCTCCTGTTACCATCTCCACTTGCTCACATCACTGTCCACAATGTTCCATGTGACACCAAACAAAACAAAGCAAAAGAGTTTAAAAGGAGAACACAAATAAATAGAGGCTCTTAGACTACAAAGGACAACATGAAATTAAGAAAGAAAACTGAAGAAATAAAGACCAACAGAAAATATTTAAGAAGCAACATGACAATTTGTTAGCACTTTTAACAAGGATTTAAAAACAATTATTTCACATACGTGTAATACAGCTGTAGTAGAACTTAGGACTCCTTGTGCCAAACACTGTACAAATACCAAGACAGTTTCTGTTTGAATGATATTTCAACCTTATTACTTTTATTGACCTTAATGCTCACTTTCCTTTTTCTCATCTATTACCATCAGTTGCTGCCTGACCCTATCACACCACACTGAGGTATCAAAAAGCAACTTCACTCTTCATCTGCTCTGCAGCACCAACCTCCATACCCAGTTCTTATTTCTAGTAAAATTATTTTCACACCTTCTTCACTGTGTTCATAACGCCCTAAAAAGCTGGTCATGAACTTTGTAAAATTAACATGTTATGCACCTTCAAGACAGTTACCTCCCCCAAATACATTAAAGACTTTAATGATCTAGGTCATTAGCATGACAAAACCAGTGCTGTTCTCGCTCACAGACTGCCACAACAAGCCATACTGGAAGCCATGCCATATCCATGCCCTAAGCTAAAAAGTGCTGTGCTTCTTTAGAGAAGAAGAATTTTTGTGATTGCCCTGCAACTCTGAGATATGCAAGATCAGATTCCAGGAGCAACACCATCAAGTGCTACAGTAGCACAAAAAATAAATCTCCTGGAGTAGGTTTTTAGTAAAGGTTTTTGATGATTTAGGGCAAGTCATGCTAAGTAGAGAACACAAGCACGAATGCTGTTAGACTTATACATATTATATAGTAGTACATGGACTAAATACTTTTAGTTGAGTTTATTAAAAAAAAAAATATAAGTAGTAAAGGCTACTACCAAAGGGAACACCAAATAAACACTACTAAAGTATCAATTGACATCTATGAAAGTTGGAAGCTGTACTTCAGCTTGCAGATAGATATCTGGGTTGTCCCAGCTAGTCTAGGATTTATTTTAAATACTACTATAAGATACAGCTGTAGTACTCCCACAGCTAGGCTCAGACCTTGAGAATAGATGATTTTGCAACAGTAAGGCATTTTAGCTAATTGACCTATTAGTTACATGGTGGTCTTCTACAGATATGGCCTTCCTGAACTCTGTTCCCATTACCAGATGCCACATAAAGGGGGGAGGGAGGAGGAAATACGTACCTGAGACAAGCAAGGTGAACCACAACAGGGAGTGAAAAAGAACTAATAAACCCTATCAGACACAAACTGGTTTCTATAGTCCTACTTCTATTTCTCTGCAATAAATTCCCCAGATTACTTATTACAGAAAATGTATTAGTTTGAATGCAGCATAACACTGAACTGTAAGACATTCATCCTGCATCTCATCAAAGACCTCTTGGATCTGGAAGGAAGGTCTAGAGATACACACATTACATCCAGTGATGTTCCACACGTTGACTCCTGCTCTTTATCAGCCTAGCTAGATTTGGCTTTGGGTCTGTGCACAGTATTTCCCAGCACCCATACTATCTTATACAATGAAAAAAATTAACATCAGCTCATTATGCAGTTAATGTTTCATAAAGTGACACTAAAAAGGTCATAAGGATGAAGCAAGGACCAGGCGGTATGTATTATCATTAACTGTAAAACGTACCCTCCATTTTTTAAGCAATCTCAGCAGGCAACTTCACAAGTCTTAGTTATGTACATCTCAAAAATAACCATTTAAACAACAAAAATCTTGAAAAAAATTACTCAAAGGTGTTTTCCTGTTTTGTAGGATTCCCCTGATTGGTCTACTCAATTAGAAATCACTAAAATTGGACAAAAATATCTAAGATAAAGTGTTAAAGGAGCTATGTAAAATGATATATACACACACACGGACACTTTTTGAAATCAACTCCTTCAAAAAAGGCAGCTTCCAAACTAAGCAGGCAGAAACCTATTTCAAGAAGAGATGAACATCACTAGCAAATCACAGTAAGAACTTCTCCTTAACTGCCAGCACCAGGGTAATTTTTTTTAAATGTTCCTAAAATTAAAAAAAAAAAAACAAAAACCAACACAAAACGCGTTTCTAAAATCGATAGCAAAATATTACTTGAAACACTGATGTCTATAATTTCAATTTAAAAATAATTAGGTCTTCAAAGTGTGACAAAAGTAGCTATGGATGTAAGTTTTTCATAGCAAAGAAATCTACCACAGATAACTTTTGGGAACAGAAATAACAACAAACTCATAAATACCCCTACAAAGCAGCAGCAGTGATAGTAGATTCTTTTCTACATACCTCTATAGAGTACTGTAAGCAAAACAAAAAGTTTAAATACTGCTTATGACTTACAGAAGGCTTGTGGAACACTGGGAAAACGAAAGAAACAAACTGCAGCAAGACAAAGAAAAGACAAAGGTACTGAATTTCGTCCAAAGAGCTACCAAATCTTTCTTTTCTCTCAATATCTATTTTCACAACAGGACGTAAGCATCTGCAACATGCTTGTACAGTACTCAAAACAGGGACAATCAGTCCTGACTAGAACCTTGAAGTAGAACCAGACAGCATACTACAGCAGATTGGAAAGACGTACTGCTTTGGTAGTCCCACACAATCAGTGTGTCAGGATTAAAGCACACACTCTACCAAAAGCAGTGAAAGATGAATTAAGGTGGTTTAGCAAAGATTTCATTAGCACTTCAAGACCTTCCCAGGTGAGATTCTATCTGCCTCAGTAGACTTAAAAGCATAGTATCCCTTGTGCTTCAATAGATTCATAGTTAGATGGATTTCAGGAAGCATCAGCTTCTTACTCATCAACTCCTCTTCTTTCCATAGGGTGACAAATTCCCAGACACCTATTCAGAACATTTCCCTTTATTCTTATTACTGTTCAACATATAGCCTTAAGAATAACTTTCTGTTTCAAAATTGATATGACATCCATGAGAAGACCACAGTGAAGGAGTAAGATGGTCTGCTGCATACCCTAAAATCTTCCTAAAAATTACATGAAAGTCTGTAAATCCATACAGCTAAAACCACAACACCTTCAAAGGTAAGGACAGGGTCAAACGATGATTATTCAAACCCTAACTTTTTTTCAAATTAAAAATGAGATGATGTTATGGTATTTATTGTGTACACTGATTTGTGGACAATAAATACCACTATAAATACCACTCTCTTAAAACAACCAAATATAAGATTGCAACTTCTCAAGAATAAGGAATCAAGCTATATATAAAGTGGTAAAACATGAAAATATGTTTTGATACCAAAGGCATCTGTTCACTGAAAGAAAGATGGTGCGAGACAGTATTTCAAGCAATAGTTAATAATACACTCAATGCTTACCCATCTCTTCCCTTACTGACAATTTTAACTTCAAAATAGTATATGCCACAGGCCGCAGGTATAGGATGAGTAGCTCGAACAGAAGCAGCATCTTTTGGAGTTTTTCCATGACCTGAAAAAAAATGGCATTCAACACTCAACAAAAACGCATATAATTGCAGAAGGTGACTCAAAGGTATGCATGCCAGCTACTCAAAACAAAGGGCTTATGTAATGAGCAAAAGATACACGATATTCTAATCAGCCTGATTTTGATGCTAGAATATTTTCTTCCAACATTAAATTTCCACTGTAAGCACCTGTATTGCAACTAAGCATGCTATGAGAAGTTCTGGATATTGTATTCTAAAAGGTCCAACAACTATTTGAAAGAAAACCAGAGAAAAGTTTCACCACTGTAAATACCACTGTAAATACTGGACAAAAGCCCCTCTGGGTTTGAAAGAATGGTATGATTTCTCAAATGCACAGGGCTTACTCATTTTTATAGACTGGAACACGACACGAGAGTTTAATCTAATACTTAGTGCTTCTGACTCTACAAGTTATTTAAGATACTTTAATTCTAATGTCCTTCAGAATAAACATCAGTCACTACACAGAACATACTAATCGTCATTGATTTCCACATTCTGAATGTTATTTCAGAAAAGCATGAAGTGTTAAAGCCTGCAGCTGAGCTCATACAGCTCCTACTCCTTTTTCTTTCAAGGCTCACAACGTATTGGCTCTGCCACAAGAAGAATGCCCAATGCCAGCTCTTGCCTACTCTCAGGATTTTCAGCCTTTAGGCTGGAGAGCCACTTGCACTCCACTACAACTACCTCTTCTGAATGTGCCACCCTCTTCAAAGACCTTTGTTCCAAAGGCAACTTCGAAGAAGGCTTTTGACTGTATGACTTGTTATAGCAACAACCTATTCAAGCAAGCTCAGTGTCTCCCAGGTGAAGATCACGCAGGGTATCGTTTAAATGGTTTTAAAAAGCAAGTTGGAAAGTATTTTGGATTCTGGCAAGAGATAAGGTAATTCAGTAAGATGGCAATCAGGAACAGACTCTCATTGCCACAAGAATATTTCACACAGATCCCATGCCTACTTCTCCATGTCGATCTGTAGCACGATGAAAAGAGCTGCCTGTTCTGAGTGTGCTGTACAAATCACTTGTGCTGCTGCACTCCAGCTGTCATCTCCAGTCCAGACAAGGAGGCTTACTGCACCTGCACAGCAATTGATCTGCATATGCAAAAAACCCTACAACCAAACATGCTCCTTCCAGTGGCATTAACACTGAATTACTACTGTTTAGGCTCAGACTAATCATGTCTGAGGTGCAGCAAGTCAGGTCACACAGCAAAGAAGAAACTGCAGGAGAATGACAGCATAGGCAGTCAGAAAGATCAGGTCCAGCTGGCCTGCAGTACTGAACCTCTAAGCACAGAGGTCAGGCACTAACCTGTACGAACCCTCTAAGCACAGCGCTCTCCAGTGTAAATGCTCATAAAACAGTCAATGCTTATCAGCCTGTAGAGCCAGCACCAACCAGCTCCTAACAAATGGCATATGTTCAGCCAGGGAGAACTCTTGCCATGGCTGCACCTGCAATCAAAACTTTATTAGCACACCACGAATTCTTCACTCACTGAGATTAGGTTTAACCTACAAAGTTTTTCTGATGTAAATAGTTCACCCCAGTGTGCTACTAACTTAGGGCAATAGGTCAACTATTACTTTTCTAGGTGCAAATCCAATGTCTACTTCAATGTGTTATTAGTATTATTAAATATTTTGTATAAAAATCCTTCAGTCACCTCACAAGTTTTACAATTTTAAGCTTATTGCATACCTTCTGCATGTTGATTTCTGAAGTCTCACATGAGGAAAAACCAGTCATTTACTCCTCCATACACAAGACAGTGTACATGTTTTATTGTTCACTACTTTTAAGCTATTTCCGCAGGCTGTGACAACCAAGATAATAATTAAGTACATAATCTTAGAGCTTTCCATGTGTTTGCTTGGTTTTCAAGTGCTGGTAGCTCACTATTAAGTTAGTATAAATTAGATTATTATTTATAAGTATGCAGAAATCCTTCAGCTAAAAGGGTAGAACATTAAACTCCTAAGATATCCCTTAAATTCAGATAGGTCTGACTAAATGATGCATTAGTTAGAGGGAGGTAGGGAAAGGAAAAATACTTTCCTTTTAAATGTCCTTAGGTTTTTATTTTAAAATAGACTGAAAAGAAGTTCCCTTGGTTACTCTGTGCTCTTGACAATCTGTGTAGTTTCAGTCTGAGTCACTCTCCTTATTTGGGAAAGTCTTCCACACAGAAAAAACTAAAGTAGTAGGAACTAGCCAAATATTATTGAAAATGTACATCTATTACCCAGCAGACTTTGCTTTGTGAAATCACAATCTAAGTGTTTGGAAACAATATCTATTTAAGGTATTCTTAGCACCTCTTCCTGAAACTCCCCTTCTCTCACCCCATTCCCAATCCAGGCAGCTATTCGCAAGGACATACCAGGAATCAGATTGATTAGCTGATCGGGCTTTAAGAAACCTACCAGATTTTTTTAAGCGGCAGATCAGTTCCCTGATCCAGTTCACAACACAGCCACACACAGCTGTCACACTGCAAGTAAGAGGTCAACATAGGGGGAGAAGTAACAGGATACTTCACCACTATCGCCAAACACTTCATGTGGTGAAGCAACATGCTTGGGGAAGTCAGTGCCCAGAACTACTTTCATCCCATTAAAACAGAAGACATCCTAAATTTAGAGCTGCTGTCCTTTTAATATAACCTCCTATGAATCCTGTTTTACTACTTGAGTATGCTGTTTTTATTTGTAGTTACATACAATTATTATGTCTAACAGAAAATTCAACTAGCAGTTAAATACTTTCAGATATTCCTATCTCTACATTATTTAAACATAGAAGGTGAGACTTCCAGTACCACCAAGCTACATTGGATTATGTGAGGAGTCAAGAGACACTAGTTATCAGCCAGCTTTAAAACAAGAAAAGGCTCTTTATAGAACAGGTAGTTGAACTCCAAAATTTCTTACCAAAGGATACTGCAGATGTTTGTTTAGGATGACACTGGGCAAGCTTCTAGAGAAGAAGTTAACTGAGACGCTGCCTTGAGCTCAGGATGTCCCTTAGCTTAAAATGGCTGGAAATCGAGAGGGGAAACACACACCATATATGCCCAAGACGTTTTTAGATTTTTTCACAGGCACTCACTTATGACCACTGTCACCAATGGGACTCTGAACTGAATGGCCCATTAGCTTGATGTTTTAAACTGCTGCCACATTCTTTGGTAACCTGAATCCTATGAATAAAAAAGGGAGTTCAACATCCAACTCTGAACTTCTGAATCGGAGGTTCCAAACACCTGAAGTAGATCACATGAATACTGCACTATGTTCCCTCAAAACATACCTCTTTCATAGTCACAAGCTATAGTTAGAGTATTTAAAACAACACTTTTAAAGTCTGTCTTATTTAACACTAAAAATTAATAATGTTCAGCATTAAAAAAAGAGAACTCTGCAAACAGATGCATTGGGGCAAAGAAGGGAAAACAGGTCTACACAGCTCAACACTTACACTGCAAACCAGATCATAGCTAAGTTCAGTTACCAGAACTGTTTTCATTCAGGCTTTCATTAGAAGTGTTTAACAACCATGAGCTGACCATGCTTTATTTTGTTTTTTAAGCATTCACACTGATGATTTTTACTAAAAATAGTATCACCAGTCCTTTAGCAAAATTACATTGAAATTAATCTAAATTTAAATTCCATTTATTTGGAAAAAAGCTAATTCAGACAAAAACATGTTTGGAGACGCCATTTCTGCTTTCAAAAAAGATAATGTTTGAACCTAAATGTAAGTGTATAATGCATATGCACCAAATAGTCCAAAAGAAGTCTATGGGAGTGCCTACCTAAACAAAAGTAAGCGTGTTTATCCAGTTTAAATCCTTAAATGAAGTTTACATAAGCTGAACTGCAGTTATTTCCAACAGGTGGTTCAATGACTTGCTCACACTGCCAAAAATAAAATAATCAAGGCCTAATCTTCTGTTGAATTCATTAGGAAAGTTTCACTGAGACAAGAATGGAACAGGCAGCCCAGGGAAGTGGTTGAGTCACCATCCCTGGAGGTATTTACAAAACCTGTAGATGTGGCACTTGGGGACATGGTTTAGTGGTGGACTCAGCAATGCTGGGTTTGTGGTTGGACTGAATGATCCTAGAGCTCTTTTCCAACCTAAATGATTCTATGATTCTAAGAAAAAAAAAGACACAAATTACTAATTTTAACTTTTCCCCCAGTTTAAAAAAGCAAGACATTTCAAAGCTACTAAGGTGTCCAAAGCCAGCACACTGTACTGAATGTACCATGTTTTCTGCCAGAAAAATTGACACCATCCTTGTATCACTGAGTGACAACAAAGAACTATTACTATGGAATCCTCCTCAGTTTGTTATAGAAAATGTAATGCACAGTTTGCACTGAAAAGTAATTTATTTTTGTTTTTTAGTTTGGCACTACAGACAGTTCAAAGGCAACTGCACTGTAAATAAATGTCTGGCTAAGATTTCCTGGCCTGTGATACATTAGCAAAAGTTCACACAACAACAGCTTACTCAAAATTGCACAACTTTCCTCAGCCTTTTTTGGACAATTGTCACATGACTAACTTAAGTAAAGTTACTATATGACTTTCCACGATTTTACCTAATTCTGTACACAGTTTCTTCCATGGTTACAATTTGCATTGAGTCTGTGTTTTTGTCTCCTCATACTACATAGCATAGATCACTATCTGCTGGAAAGCTAACTTGTCTGTCTAGTGGAATGTTCATATTACATACAGTATTTATGAAATCCCTGTTTTTCAACAAGACCCACGTGTTAATTCTGAATATTTTAGAAATACATAGGAATATTTTTCAAGATATCTCACTTTAATAACTATGCATTTTACATGGTAACTGCTTTACAGGTAGCATATGCTTATGCTTTCTTTACCACTTACCCACAGCTCAGAGCTGCAAATATTATAATTAAGTGAAATGACAAATTTTTTTTCTTGTACTGTTTTTCATTGTCTCACTTACATAGATATACCATGAACAACAGTCACAAGGACAGTGTTAGCTTTCTATCAGCTTGCACAGCTAACTGGCAGCAACACAAAAATGTCTGTCCACCTGAAAAAGAAAAATACTCTAGGTATAATCTTTCATATATTACAGTATCACTGATGCCATTGTATATGTATTTCATATCCAGATTTTTACAAAGCTTCCTAATCAAGAATTAGAATTTGTAAAAGTGTAACAGAATAGCTCACTGTGGAAAGAAATTGGCTTGTTCTGGTAAACAACAGGGCAGTCAATGCACCTTCCCTTCAAACACCTCCCCATATAAGTTTTCCTTTCCTTTTTTAAGTAACACTATGATTCTGAGAGAGAACAAAAAGAGCACTGACCCTTGGGTTTTGTTGACCTCCAACAAAAATTAAGGAGCTGCTACACTGATCCTACACTATAGTCCTTTTTTTTTTTTAAACCTCTATCACTTGATCAATGCCTGGTTTTCTGGCAGTTTTCATTTTTAAGCAGTCTTTAGGATGCTTGCAAAATTCTTGAGGTCCAGAAATGCAGTACACACAGCTGTAATGGTAGAAAGAGACATCTACTGTTGCTCAAGTTTTCATACAAGTTGTCCACTGGTAAGGAAGAAAATGAAAGGAATCTTCAAAAATTATACAGAGAGGACCATCATTCCTCTCACAAACCAATGAAACAAAAATATCATTGCTCACAATACATCAGCACATTAAAATTATGAAGTTATTTATATGAAAAATTACTTTGAAAGCTTTTGCTCTGATTGTTCCTCCCCACCCATTTTTTTTTCAGAGGCAACTATCCCCAGGACATACAGAGTGAAAGGAAAGCACCGATGTTACTGCTTTCTGTCCCCTATCAGTCACAGACAGGAGGAAATTACTCCAGAAAAACAGTTCTGAAGACAGAAATCTACAGAGGCAGAAAATTTAAGTGTACAAGGTACCTATAGTACACTAATAGAAGATAGCAAGAATTGCTTTAGGATACTGGCTTCTTTGGACAGATCTGTCTTCCTTGAGTATTTTGCTCAAGAATACAACAGATCTTTACCCGTGCTCAATATGTGATTCAAATTTCCTTTCAACAAAAACATCCATCCTTCTTCCACTACTACTTAGATAACTTCAGAAGTACTGAAAGTGCCAATATTCCACAAGAAGATGCTTTCTTTTGAGACCTCTATTTGCAACTGATTTGTAGAAAAAATATTTGACAATGCTACTTGTAGTAGCAATGTAACATGCACATTGTTACTTGCTATCTTCTCTCATTTTCTTCCCTTTAATTGTATGCTCAGGGCTGAAGGATCCAGGAAGGAGAAAAGGCAGCAAATGCTTTAGTGGGTTTTCCCCCCAGTTCTCAGGTAGAAATGCCCTGATACCATTCATTGCTTAGCCCAGTTAGCAACTCCAGGTGCCAAGCCGGTAACATAAACACGGAGTTGCCCTAACAGCCACTTCACTAAATTACCAGGAAGAAAAGATAGGCCACTTAAGAAGCGATTCACTCCCACCTGCACTTAGGAAAAGCAAAGCATAGACATATACTGGCACTTCTCCTCTTCACAGTCCTCTGGGCTAACCTAGGAACTCTTCAACCTTCATCACTTACCATTATTTAAGAACTAGAGTAAAAGTATTTTATTGTTATAACCTTCTAACTGTGCTTCATGTCTTCTGGTGGAGCATCCACACCATTTCCTATGTTACCTATACTTCGGAAACATGCTGAGCCTCCTGTAATTTCTTTGAGGTAATGAATTTCTTTTTTTTTTTAACACTATAGCAAAGGAGGTAAGTGAGTAAAAACAGGGACATCACAAGGAAAGCTTAAAAATATACTTCTGCAGTAACCCTGACAAATCAGAGAGGTTCCACGTCTAAATTCTAGCTCATAAGCAAAAGGAGTTGGCCAAAACAAAGCAAACCAGCAGAAGGACTCGATGGCCATAAAGCTATGACCACCTTAGAAGACAAAAACAAAAAACCTGCCTCTACTAAGCGCCAGAAAATACAAAATGCTTCTAAAAATACAAGGTCATAAAACACTGAACAAAAGCCAGGAAATTCAGAGTTGAGTATTAAATTACACATCCTTAAATCACTTGGTGCCTCCCAGAAACCTGCTCTACAGTCATCAAACTCCTTTATTATCTTTGTATGGTGCATCAAACTTAGCATTTTTAACCGAGTATTTTGTATGTAATAAAAAAGCTTCTCTATTAAAAAAAAAAGTGTTCCGAAGTACATTTAATCCTTTCATGGCAGCCAAATCCTGCCATGTGTTTGTGTTGCTGTTTTCCTTCTCTGATTAAACAGTTACATGTTTATCGAGATTTCCCTTGAATTTCACCATTGCAAACTCTGAGAAAGGGTAATTGCACGGGTGTTTTTTCCCCTCCCACTACGTTCATTTGATTACAGACTGACAAAAGATCCAGTTTTTCACAGCCAACCCAAGAGTGGTTTTGAATCCACAACACTTCTACTTCAGGACTTTGGGCCTAGAACACCAGATGTGTCTGTGTTTTTTCAGGTCAGAGTGTACACTTACGTTTCCAGCTTTTATGATATTTCATAACAATCAACACGAGTTTTTCTTCTATTGCTTCTTACTGATTTTTTTACACAAAAGCCTACTCTGGGGTTTCTATCTTTAATTTGAAAACCTGTGACTTTAAATGTGAAATGTCTGGCAGAAAGTTATAAAGTCACCTTTATTAACATAAGCCCTATTGTCGTTCCTTCCCTCAAATCACTCTGTGCAATAGGCAAGACTGTTACCAGTGACTTTTAAAGCCATTTTTTTCGCAGTTTAAAAATAAACCGTGTTTTTCTCTGTGCTTTCCCCTCCCGTCATTTCCGTGTTCAATAGCTTAACGCTTGCTGCTCTTAACTCCATTTAACCCTTGCTCTTCTCGAGAGGGGAGGCAAAAAAAGAAAAAGCAGCCACTTCTTTTTCTCGCTCATTACCATAAACAGGACACGTCATGCCGAGCGTCCTTTATTCTCCTGCCTCAGACCCAAACGTTCTGGCGATACCTGAATCCACGGAGGAAGTCTCGGAGTTTACATAATGCCCACTCCAGAAGCATAAGGAGGCGGGGGCGGCCCCTTGTGTCCCCCCCCTTTCCCCGCACGGCGACAGAAACGGGGGGAGGGGAAAGGAGAGAAAAATAAAGCTGAAATAAGAGAAAACAAGACCCTTCTCTCCACGCTACGGGGGGAAGGGGGGCAATTTACAGGATCGGAAAACAGGGAAGAAAGAGGGAGAGGAGCGTGTGTTATTTCCTGTTATTGTTACTCCTGTGCCCACTGCCCGATGGAGGGATCGGAGGGGGGGCGGGGGGACACAGACAGGGGGTGTCGCGGCGGCCCGGGCCGCCCGTCCTCACCTTTGTAGTGCACCCGCAGATTGTTCTGCGAGAGGCCGATGTAACTGAATTTGTCCTTCGGGCTCCAGGAGCGGGGCAGCGGCGTCTCCTGCTCGTCTACGGCCGGGTAGAGCCTCTTCAGCCGCCGCTTCAGCTCCTTCTCCTGCTCGTTCAGGGCCGGGTCCCCGTGCGGGA